CTGTGGAGGCAGGAGCTTTTCTGATTTCTGCATGGTTGGAACCACCATCGAAGGACTGAGTGTAACTGCATGCTCTCCACCTCAGGAAGTGGGAGGTCCATGCTGGCAGAGGTGGGCTGCTGTGGGGAGGCATGACCAGAGAGTCAGTCTCCTCCAACCCCAAGCCTCCATGTGATGAACCACCAGTGTGCACCACCTGTAGGGAGTGCTATAAGAGGAGTTTCTTGCTAACACAGGTTCTTTCCCTGGAAAGATGTCTTTCAGAAGATCTAGTTAGGAACCATCTCAGATCCTTTTCTGATGCTGTGTTAGTCAAGCTACTTCCTGTCTGCCTGTGAAATATGGAGCTATTAAAATCTGCACTATGATGACAACATCCAGAGTCACCGACTACTGACTCAGAAAAGGTCCGAACTGAAGGTTCACAGTACACGTAACCATCCCTTGCTATAAGCAGAGCAACTCAGTCACCCAATTGCTAATGGATCTGGGGAGTAAAAGATGTCCCTGCTTGAGCTCAGTTCCAATTTTGTTTATCAAGGAGAAAAAAACAAAACAAGACAAAGCAAAACAAACAAACAAAACCAGGGCTAATCTGGTTTCAAGAGGGTACCAGGAAGGAGGAGAAAGGAATCTGAGGAAGGGGGAAGCAATCCATACACTCCAGTGTATGATTGGTCTGAAACACAGGGCAGGGCGGGCGCAGCTGCCAGGCGGCTGGCAAGGAAGGCAGAGCTGGGCCTGACTGCAGCAGGCTTTCTCAGCCAGGGTCCCATAACGTGATGCCCATGGTTCGCGGGGCTCACTCTTACAGGCCCACTTAGGAAGCCCACCAGACAGAGCCGACTCCAAGAGCAGGATCGTCAGCCATGCACGTGGCTGGTCCCCCGACACAGAAGATGAATAGGTGGCTGTGCGGCGCTGCAGAGCCCCAGGGCAAAGGTTCTTTCTCATTATCCTCTCCAGTTTTTCCATCATGGTGCTCCCTACGGCTCCTATCTAAGTCCACAGAGAGGGGACCTAAGGATCTCACAACACACTGCCCTGCACCCACCCCATCAGGACCCAGCAATGAGTCTTAAACCCATGAGACCTTCAAATATATCTCCTCCTCAGGGCCGCTGAGTGCTCTGGGTCTTGGGGGTCTTAGAGATGAGTGATTTAAATTTTTTAAAATGATTTTATTTCATGTGCATAGGGGCTTTGCCGGCATGTGTGTCTGTGTACCACAAACCCAAGGAAGCCAGAAGAATGTGCCGGACCCCCCTAAATTGGAGTTAGAGATGGTTGTGAGCCACCCTGAGGATGCTGGGACTTGAGTGAGCCAAGGTCCTTTGGAAAGACAGCCAGTGCTCTTAGAGCTGAGTCATTTCCCTGCCCCCAACATGGAGATCATCATCATCATCATCATCATCATCATCATCATTATTTATTTATTTAGAAACAGAAACTACAAAAGAGCAAGCCATTGAGTCAACAGCCTAAGGCGCCAGCAGGTTTCAGAGTGAACATCCCATGGTGCCATCAGGCTCTCTCTTGGTTGCTTTAGTTGAAATGTCTGGAGCTGTCAGGACACAATCTCCAGCAGCAGATTCGGCTGGCCCGTCTTGGAGCAGGGCAGCGGACTGCCCATGACCCCTGTAACTTCCAGGGCACTGTGTTCCCTGGAAAAGCGTTCATTCTGACTTTGGTTGAGTGTTCTTCCTGTTACTAGCCTGGGTTCTCAATTTTATTCACTGAGCATCAGCTGAGAAAGAAAGAGGAAGGAACAGAGTGGGTTTTGGGGGACTCCAGTTTTAGGCCGAGCGTGTAAATAAGTGATTCTCCTCGGCAGCTGTCATCTTTGGGGAGGGCTTTTCCTTGGCTATCTGACTCCATTAGCTCAGCTTGGTGGAATTTCTGGGTCCCATACCCCTAGGGTTAGAGGCCACCCTGAGGGCAGTATCACCAAACTTTACCCAGCGAGTGATGCTCTGGGTTTCCAGAAAAGACAGCTGCCAGCCAGACTCAAGGATACAATGGAAAGCAATGGCCACCAGTGTAGGGTCTAGATGCCAGTACACAACTTCCACCTTCTAGACAGTCCATGCAGACCATGCTGAGTGTTGACCTACTGCGGAACATGTGGTAAGTGAGGGGGCATTTCCCCAAGCTGGCCTCCAGTTTCAGCATCCGGAGCCCCGTAGGGGCCCTGCAACTATGGTATGCACCAGTCTGGAAACCACTGTTTTGGAGAAGTTCGCCATCATTTCCTTCTCCTGTGCCCCTGCCTTCTGCTCTCCACTAATAAAGCAAAGAGGACCAGGGCCAGTTTGGCTCCCAAGCCTTGGAGGAAACCAGGAAAGATAGCAGGAGGGAAGGGCAGGGTGATGGCTAATAGATCACTGGACAGGAATGTTCTTCTGGAGACATGGGGATCCGCAACAAGAAACTGAGTAGTTCTCTTCCACATATTCCATGAGGACAGAGGCAATATGGTGTAGGCTTGGTTAAACACAGGGCAGAAAGAAGGTGAGCCACCAGCCAGATATGACTTATTACTGGTCACCAAGTCCTAGCTCTGTTCTCTAAGGCACACGATGCACCAGAGCTGATAATGAGGCCTTTGGTTTCTGACAGGACTTGGGGAAGACCCAAGGCAGGGCAGCCTTCCTTGTAGATTGGGTTGCTCTAGGGATGGGGAGGGCCTGGAGAGGCCCTGCTGTGTGTGCTTAGTGATGGAATCTGAGCGTGAAAGGACTGAAGAAGCACAAAGCCCCAGCAGGGCAGTTCTGGAAAAGGCATGGGCCCTGTCCTACGTGGGTCTCCAGAAACAGGCATTCAGCAGGGCAGTTCTGGAAAAGGCATAGGCCC